CTCTCTCTCTCTCTCTGAAAGAATAGGGACTCTTACTTATCTCAGCATCTCAAGTCTCTGAGACAAAAGTATCAGTAAATATTACTTGAATACATAAATGAAAGAATTAAGGCAGCATTAGCCATATAAGCTGTGGCAGGAACCATGCCCTGTTCATATGTGTATTTAGAGGGTGTGGCTTAGTTTGATATGTAGTTGAAGGTGGATGCTAGGTTTGTTAATTGAATGATAGAGAGTTGCCCTGTGTTTTAGTTAATCAATCTCTTTCATTGTGGTAATATAATTAGGAAAAGGGATTTATGGTTATTCAAGAAAAACATTTGAATATTTTGTGTTTGTGAAAGGACAGCTTTCTTCCCTCTTTATGGTCTTGTTTTCTTTATCTGTAAAATGAAAGGTTTGGAAAATTTGATATCTTAAGGTTCTTGCCATTGCCAATTTCCCACTAGGAGGACCAGCTATAATCTCTGGGTCTGGACCATGTTAAGTACAACTTAAATCTGCATGGCAATCTGTTTTTTTTCTTTTCTTTTAAAGCAGGTCCATCACACTATTGGATCATATTAAACTTAATAATATATTAAGATCAGTTTATAGAATGGCCAGAGCATGTCATGAATTGTTGTCTTCTTCCAGTCACTGCTGTGCCTTTGGGTTTTTTGAACCTTAGCACAGGATTTACAGGTATCCTAAGTTTTGTCCTGTGAGATTCGATGTAGTCTTCTAGCTCTTTGAACTTTAATTCTGCAATTATGGCATCAGCTGTGTGTCTTCCATTTGTGTTATCTATAGATGTGTTAAACATATAACAGATATTCAATAATATTTGAACCAATAGTCATATATCTAGTATATCTTTGCTCAAATAACTACAGCATTAAATGTTTTACTCTAGGTGGAGTCTTCATCTTTCCTCTGCTGTGTGTGTGTGTATGTTTGTTACTGCAGGAGTGTTCTGCTACTGAGCTATATCCCTGCATTTTAAACATTTTTTTCTTTTTTTTTTGGTGCTGGGGATTGAACCCAAGGCCTTGTGCATGTGAGGCAAGCACTCTACCAACTGAACTATATCCCCAACCCAACATTTTTTTTCCCAAGTTTTGCTGAGGCTGGCTGGCCTTGAATTTGTGAGCCTCCTGCCTCAGCTTCCCCAGTTGCTGCGATTATAGGTGTGCGCCACCTTGCCTGGCTCCTTTGCTCCCTCTCCCCCACCAGATTCATGCCGTGTAGTAAAACGACCACTGAATTTGGACTCAGAAGATCTGGACCCTAAGTCCCAGCTCTTCTGCTTACTACTATATGATTTTGGACAGATTGCTTAATTCCCCAGGACTTCAAATTTCTAGTGTATCAGAGAAGAAAAATTAAGATTTCTAATTTTCTGATTCTGGCACTGCAAGCATCTGGCCTATACTTGAAAGTAGTAAGGAATTGTGGTTAAGAGCAGGTTAAGTACCTGGAGTCAGAATGCCTTTATTTTTAAATTAGCTCTGTCTCTACTGGTTGAGAGGCATTATCTACCTGAACCTGTTTCCTCCTCTGTAATATGAGGTTAATAATGTTGCATGATTGTTTTGAGTTTTTAGAACACATTGTGCACATGGTTAATTATAGCCTATCAGCATAATTTTTCACAAAAGATATAATTGAAGACATACTACCTTCCTGAGGGCTCCTGGAACAAAAATACACCTTTATGGTTGGGAATTAAAAATGTACCAGAAGCCAATGTGGGAGTATATCAAAAGTTAGTGATATTATGAATCATTTTCTTCTTTTTAAATATTTTTTTGGTTGTTGATCAATTGCTATTTTATTTATTAATTTATACATGGTGCTGAGAATCGAACCCAGTGCCTCACACATGCTAGGCAAGTGCTCTACCATTGAGCCACAGCCCCAGCCCATCATTTTCTTATATATTTGAAGGAAAGACTTTTTGTCTGTTTTCATATCCATAATATAAGTGGGTGATTTGGGCATTTTAGAAAAGAAGGGAAATACATAGTTTCAATTTTCTGTCCTATTGTAAGAAAACAGTAGCTGTAAATTCTCAGACAAATTCTAGCCACATGTGTAAGTGTTGGCTTGAATCTTTCCCCTCACTCAACTCTTCAAGATCTATTGGTAGCTGCTAACTCATTTTTTCCTCCCTTTAACATGAATTGATGAAAAGTTGGGCAGAAAGAATCAGCCTAGATAAGCAGTATACCACCCCATCTCCTCTAAATGGTAAAAGCTGACTGTCTTAACTGTCAACAGTGGGTTCCCTTTTGAAGCCCAGGACCTGTTGGGAACCTGATGGAAAGGCCTCACTCAATCTGCCATACTTTTAAGGGGAATAGAGATACTATTGGATGCCAGAGGAGTGGCAGGTTTTGGTTCCCCTTCCTCAAACTTTACCCAGTAATGATTAGTTTAATTTTTGGAGGCTGTGAACTTACTTAGTATTTGTAGAAGTTGTCCCATGTGTTTGGGATGTGCCCTGTATTTCCAGTCAGCCATTAATTAGGAATTTGCCTAACTGCCTGTCTTCTACCCTCTCCCTCTCTCTTCCTCCCTCCCTCCTTCTTTCTTTCCTTCTTTGCTTCCTCCTTCTCTCCCTCCTTTCCTTTCTTCCTTTTCTTCCCCTCCCTTCCCTCCCTTTCCATTTCCATCCCTTCTTTTCCCCCTTCTCTTGCCCTTACTCTTCCCCTTCCCTTGCCTTTCCTTTTCCCTTCCCCCTTTCCTCTTCCCCCTCCTCTTCCCTTCTCCCTTCCCCCTCTCCTATCCTCTCCTCCCCTCCCCTTCTCCTTCCCCTCCCTTCCACACTAGGGATGGACCCAGGAGTCCTCTAACACTGAGCTATACCCCTAATACTTTTTATTTTGAAATAAGGTTTTGCAAGTTTTTGAGGCTGGCCTTGAATTTATGATTCTCCTGCCTCAGCCTCCTGGGTAGCTGGGTGTGCCATAGCATTTGGCTGAGTTATTTCTTCATCTTGCAAAGAATATTTCCCCTATTTATATATATAGCTCCCCTACTTCAGGTTAGTTATTCTGCTTTAGGTCCCTGTCAGAGATAGCAGGGTATAACAAAGGCACAGCTTTGGAGCTGGACAGATAAGTGTGTAATTTTGGTCAGGTTATTTAACCTTTTACATCTCTGTATGTTTTATATCTAAAATAGAATGATAATACCTTTCTTAGAGAATTATTGGGATTAAATGAAATATTTAAAGTTCTTAGTACATTACCTGAGAACTAACAATTAAAGTAGATGCTTAGTTTATTGAGAGTAGATGCTTAGATTATTGAGAGCCTTCTGTGATAGAGACTGAAGTCTGAAGACAAAGGATAGTCCTTGCACCCAGGGAATTACAATCTGATAAAGTAAAATGTTACTAAATATGAATCAGGAATGCTTATTCTTTTTTTATTCTCTCTTCCCTATTTCTTGTGCATTCTTTTTCCTAGCACAAGGTAACTTCTTAGAGGACCCTTTGTCTCCATGTCCAAGGAATGTCTGAGAAGGGGGACAATGCTATGGCACACCCAGCTACTAAGGAGGCTGAGGCAGGAGAATCACAAGTACGATTGTCACAGGTTATTGGGGGTGACCAAGAGCTTAGGCAAGGAGGGATAAAGTCAGCTGTGAGGTTCTTTATTAGTAAGCAGCAGCAGGATTATTAGCAGTTTATAGGTGGGAGGAATGCCCAGTTGGGAGTGAAGGAAGTTGTCAGGTTATTGAGGAGGTCACAGTGCTTGTTTAAATTGAGTGGCCTGCTAGGCAAACTCACATTTACTTATTTTCACTGTGGTCTTTTCAGCCACTTTCTGGAAACTTGCGTTCCTGGGTGCTGCTGCTCCCTCCCTGTCCTTAGGAACAGGATTGAAAGCAGCATTAGCCTAAAGAAGTTGTTCTATTTAGGGAGCTAGAGCAGAGCCAGTGATTAGGCCCTTATCAGCAGTGAGTGGTATGGGGCAAGATTGGAGTGTCTGTCCAGACTTCCACAGGAGCTCAGTTCTTCTGTTCCCTGGTTGGATCAGAATTGTGAAGAAGCAATAGATGGGCTGGGCCATCTGAATGAAAAGCGCTTCATTGTGTTTCTTCAACATTCCCGTGTCTGGTACAATTAGCCAAGACTCAGAAAACAAGTTGGACAAACAAGCAAGCAGCCTTCCACAGATGGATAAAGGAATTTCTGGCACAGTCAAATTAAGTACACTGACTATAAAGACAACGTAAGAGGATCTGGGAAGAGAAGGGGGCTTTGGGATGCCATTCCTGGCTGGATGAGCATAAAGAATGGAGCAAGAAGCAAACAGTATTTCTGAAGTTGATGAAATCCGCTGAGTTAATCTACTCTGGAGGCTACCTGAGGCTGGGCTGCTCTGTAAAGTAGGTGGAATCATTGGGGAGAGACTGTGACTCTTCTCATTGGGCAGCTGTAAGTATAGGGAAATTAATCTCCCTTTGGAATCTAGGACTCTCTTGGCAACAGTGTGGGGGCTTGCTCTATTATAGTCTCTCCCATCGTGAGACCTTCTCAGTTGGTTAAAATTTCAGATGTACTTTTTGCTTGAGAAGAGGCGAGCCTGAGGAACAGGTTGTTGGGCAATGGATGCACTGTTCCTGACTTGGCAGTAAGCCGTTTTAACTTACAACTGTCCTGCAAATGTCTTAAGATTCACCAGGTTACAAGCTTCTGCTCGGCAAATGGAAGGTAACTCAAAGACTAGCTTGTGTCTGCTAAGGCTTACTGGCTATGTTGTCTGGACTTTTACTTACGAAGCTCCCACCTTGCATGCTCTGTTGGTCTGGAAACACTGGGGTGGTGCCACTTTTGAATAGCATGCTCTTTGCCTGAAGACCTGGACCCAATTTTTGGAAGTGCCCTAGGGAGGAGCTTCCTCTCTGACCTCAAGGGAAGAAGGAGGTCAGTAGGAAGTTGTGGGTGGAGCCACTTCTCTGTTCTGCTCTCTCTGTTCATCACACAGCTCTTGGGCTGTCTGTCTCTGTTCACCTCACAGCCTTTTGAGAAGCTGCAGGGGGTGCATAGGACTCTAGCTGGATGTTCTTTGGGACCGCCTCCTTTTAGGTGGGGCCAGCAGACTCTGGGTGCCATGTGGCCCAGTTACCAAGATGAACACGAGTTCAACGCCCACCTGGTGTGCCGCATGTGTTGTATGGGTTAGTATGTGAAGTTTTTTTTTCCCTCTTCTGGGCTTGAGGATCCTAAATAGCCCTTGTTCTTTTTGATTCATAAGAGAGCCTGGTCTTTGAAGCCCTATGGGTGTTACAACCTTTGGGCTTATTAAAACTGGGGCAGAATAGACTAGATGGTGTGTGGGAGAGTTCCCTGCTTCCTGAGGAACTTCTTTAACTCATAGTGACTGGCAGTTAAAAGCCCTAGCTTTGGGTGTGGGACTTTTTTATAGAGCTTGAATTCATACTCATGCTTCTGCCTGTCAGGAAGCCACTTTTAAGTTATGTTGCACAGTGCTGAAAGTCCAGGGTGTATTTTTAGCAGAAGTTGGTTGGTTGCGGAGTTTACCTCTGAGCAAGCTGGGGAGTGGTGGTGGAAGGGAGGAGTCATGGCCTAGGTTTCCTCTTTGGGGCCTATTGCTAATTCTCTTACACTTAACTTTTGTCAGCAGTGACAGAGAGAACGGACTTGAAGATAGTCTGGGGACAGGGACCCATAGAAGAATTAGAGGTCAGAGGAAGAGTCCTGCTAGCTATAACTTAGCTCTTTCCTGATAGGGGAGAAGAATTCATTTAAATGGTGTTCTGTGACCTTGAGACTTAAGAGCCTGATCTTTTTGATGGCAGGTTTCCTGGTTTTCAAACTGTAGAGCACACTGACTAGTGCTGGATTGAGATATCAATTCATCAGTTCTTAGTAAAATGAAAAAGATAACAGAAATGTAGTGTGTTTTTTCATAAAGCTAAACTCACTTAAAAAAATTGCCCTTTATTCTGAAATCATCCTTCCTACTTTGTTTCATTTATTTTTTAATTGTTCTTCCTACTTTTCTATGTTAAAGTAACTTTTACTTTACGAAAGCATTGTTATTAGATGGTGGTTTTAGGCATCCTTATCAAAAGAAAAAGTTGGCAACGTTATGTTATACTTTGTAATATATTTGAGAACATTTACTGATCTGTGAGATCTAAGTGTGGGAACTACTGGCTTGATAATCCAATATCTTTTGATTTTATACACCTCAGTCTCTAAAAGGGAACAAAATTGTGAAAATTAGGCAAATTTTCCCTAACACCAAAATTGCTGATAGTTTGATGGAGAAGGGACCTCAGAAGACATTTAGAGGAAGAGAGGCACCAGAACTTGGGTTCTGATGTCTCCTGACTGCTAGGCCAGTGCTGCCAAATACTTAAGGTTGTTTTTTTTTTTTTTTTTTTTGAGAATTAAGCTAGTGTTATACTAATGTTTGGGGCAGAAGGAGAAACAGTTTTAGCCAGTTATTGCCAGGCTGTCTAACTTTTTATCTTACCCATAACACTGAGATTTCCTCCCTGAAACCTGAAAGAATAATCTGCATCTGAAAGCATTTGAAGATAAGCAGAGAGCCCAGGGGCTCTCTTTCTGTAATAACAGAGAAGTATAAGGAAGTCCTCATCTCTGTAGAAAGTTTCAGGGCAAAAACTTTATACTTTCAGCTACCCCACCCCTTTTCATTCCCTAAGGGCACTGTAGCCCAAGAGTTAGGAAAGAGGGCTTTGGTAACAACTGTCTACTTGTGGCCTGTTGCTCTACCACTCTATAGCCACAGAAACTGGGAAAATTGCTTAACCTTTCTGTGCTTCAGTTTCCTCAGTTGAAAAGGGGATTAAAATTCATCCTACTTATGGAGTCATTACAGGAAGTATATGATATTAAAGCACTTAGACCAGTGCCTCCCATATAATAAGTTCATCAATGATAGCTGGTAGTTGTATTATGTGAAGTGTAATATATAATTTATTTATTTATTTATTTTTATTATTGGTTGTTCAAAACATTACATAGTTCTTGACATATCATAGTTCACACATTTGATTCAAGTGGGTTATGAACTCCCATTTTTACCCCGTATACAGATTGCAGAATCACATCAGTTACACATCCACTGTTTTACATATTGCCATACTAGTGTATGTTGTATTCTGCTGCCTTTCCTATCCTCTACTATCCCCCCTCCCCTCCCCTCCCCTCCCCTCTCTCTACCCCATCTACTGTAATTCATTTCTCCCCCTTGTTTTTTTTTTTTTAAATTCATTCATTCTTATACAGAATCAGGTGCACAAATATACATACACTTGGTTTTCTGGGGCAAAGACTTCTGTGGAAATCATTTATCTCTTTTCTCTTTTTGTTTTTGTGATGCTGGGGATTGAACTCAGGGCCCCACACATGCTAGGAAAGCACTCTACCACTGACATACATTCCTAACCTTTAAAAGTTGCCCTGGCTGGCTCTGGAATTACAGTCCTCTTGCGTCAGCCTCCCAAGTAGCTGGGATTACAGTCATGTTCAACCTATTTCCTTTGAGTTTGCATTGGGAATATTAAGTGATACACAGTCTTCTTGATCCAGATGGGCAAGAAGAACTTAGAAAAGCTGTACCTGGAAAAGGAACATCTGAGTGGGAATCTATGCACCCTGCTGTGAAAAGCAGTCTTAAATATTACTTGGGATTGCTTCTTAGTCTGACTTTGAAAATATCATCTTAATGTGTTCTTGTAGACTTTTCCTTGCCGTGTAGTAAGCTGTCAATATATATTTGTTAAACAATTAGATATTCTTTTTTTAAAAAAATATTTTTTAGTTGTAGATGGAACAACATCTTTGTTTTTATTTGTTTATTTTTATGTGGTGCTGGGGATGGAACCCAGGGCCTCATGTATGCAAGGCAAGTGCTCTACCACTGAGCTACAACTCCAGCCCAACAATTAGATATTCTTGAATACCTGCTGAAGTTCTAAATGTTGGATACTTAAAGAAATTTAAAATATGAACCTTGACTCTAAAGAGCTCAGTTCAGATAGAAAAATGAGACTTAAATATGGTGATATCTGATAATAGGTTATATATGCTCAATACTTTACTCACCTTTCTTGGTACTGAGTACCACAGCCATCCAGAGGTGGCTGGCATGGCCAGAAAGGTCTAAAGGAAGAAGTGGGACTTTATCTGGACCTGGAAGAGACTCTATGTTAGATAATCCAAGAAGAGGAGGATATATCCCAGGTGGGAGAAAGGTGAATATTGGTAGAGATGTGAAAGATATGTTTGGAAACAATGAGATCAGAATGCTTGTGGTTAAGTCAGGTGGGGAAAAGTCTAGAGATAAATTTGGAAGAATATTGTAAATTGCCTCAGGTCAGAGGACAGGTCTTTTGTCTTTTTCAGCTACCTAAAACATAATGAATAAAAACCAGAACTAAATTTCATAGGGTTGTAGAGGGCCGTGAATATGAAAACTAAAGAACTGGACTTGATCTTCTGGTCGGTTGGGAGTCAATAAAGGATTCTGAATAGAAGGGTGATGTAGACCAAGCGGTGATTTAGGAAGATTCATTTTTTACGGGCTGTTTGATCTACTTGCCATTGCTTCAGCTATCAAATTAGTATTTCAATTCTGACCGCTGTTTTGAACTCTATATTTAAGATCCCAACTGTCTGCAAGAAGATCTCGATAGCACATCCTTGTCCTTACCCCATCAAATCAATGCCTCCTATTTTCATTATCTCAAGCTATTTCTCTCCTTCCACTCTCTCTGCCTAGAAACATTAAACTTATCTTGAACTCTCCCTTTCCTTATCCTAACTACACCTAGTCAATAGGGGTCTGCCTGTACCTTTTCATGCAGATCTGTTTACCCTCTTGTCTTTCCTATTGCCTCTGCCCTAGTTTAGGTTCATAGATTTCTTTCTTGGTCTATCACAGTAGACTTCTAACTGGTTCTTTTACCAGTTAGTTAGTGGCTTTGGTATAGTCTGGCTTTTCTTCAGTTCAGTGCCAGGTCAGTCTTCCAAAGCACACTGATTTAGAAAATTTAATTGTTGTGCTTGTTTTGGCAGCACATATACTAAAATTGGAATGATACAGAGAAAATTTCATTGTCATCTCTTTGTCTACTTAAGTACATAGTCTTTACTCCAGCTGTCTGGGTTCTCTGTGCATTGACCTCAGCTAGCTGACCTTGCTACCCTACTTTTTCATTACATTACTAACATTCCTATTACATTTATATTTCGTGAAACCCATCCTGTGTACTCCAAATCACTGTTTGTTCTTTTATCTTGTTTGGAATTCCTTAATCCCTTTTGGGCTGCCAAAATCCTATTGTAATTCAAGGTTTAACTCAAACACCATGCGTTCCATGAACTCTTCTCTTATATCTCTGTCAGAATTAATCAATTCTGTGTATCAGTATTATTTTGTGCAATGTGTCTGATATCTTACTTTCTTGGTGTTATTAATTATTTACATGTTGGTCTCTGCACTAATTGTAAACTTTATGAGGTCATGGAACAGGCCTATTCCATCACTGTATTTCCCTTTAGATTTCCAAGTGGTAGGTACTTCTGGATTTCTTGAAAAACTTGTGATTTTTCTGTGGCCTACAGGGAAACAAGCAGAAACTCTTCTCTCATTTGTTTTTTGGATAATTCATGATGCACAAGGAACTATGTTCATCATTCATCATTCCTATGTGTTGGATCAGAACATAGAACTTTGTACCTCAGTGCAAGCTTTCATTTTGTGCCAAGACTATTCGCAAGTTGTTCTTCTTAGAGTAGGACAGAAACAAGTAAACAGTGATCCCTGGGATAATCACCTAAACAAACGAGTCTAGGAGATTGGAAAAGCTCCTGGAGGAAATCATAGTTAAATTGAATACTGGAGAATGAGTAGTCAAAGAGGGGAGTTGTATTCCATGCAGAGGGAACAGTATGTACAAAGGCAGGCATAGAAAGCACAGGAAACTCCATTTAGGGAAATAATTTTTAACAAGGTTGGAAGTTAGTTTTCACCCAAGAGTGGAGAGGAGTGAGTTGCAGGCAGGAATCATAATGACTCTTATATCCCAAGTTGAATGGAGGTATCAGGCTTTGGCATTGGGTAGATTTGAGCTCAAATTTGACTCTTTTTATCTTGTGATCTCTGGCAAGATGCTTACCC